CTGCTTCCATCTGCATAGAGTCCAGTCTGCTTCTTCTAGAGGATGGCCCTGTAAATCAGTTCTGCTAGAATAAGCTTCATCAATTATTTCAGCACAGTCATGTATTAGTGCAGCTGAGTCAGGCTCTGGGAAAAGACAGGCAGGATTTAACTTACTTACAGTTTTTGGATTTCTTAAAGATTTTATTTATTTGTCTTTAGAGGGAAAGGGAAGGAGAGAGGGAGAGAAATATCAATGTATGGTTGCCTCTCATCCATCCCCTGCTGGGAACTGGCCTGCAACCCAGGCATGTGCCCTGACTGGGAATCGAACTGCGATCCTTTGGTTCGCAGGCCCGCGCTCAATCCACGGAGCTACACCAGCCAGGGCTTACTTGCAGTTTTGAGGGAGATGTTGGGATTGTCGAGAAGAATGGCTTGGTACCTGCCCGTTCTTCCAGCAGTGAGCCACATAATTCCCTTTTGCTCCAGCAGGCTCAGCACTTGGTGGGGTACAGCCGTAGGCTGTCCCAAGGAAAACTTTTCAGCTCCTGTAAGAGCTCGAGGGTGGCCGCCACAGCTCTCAAGCAGGCTGGCCACCCTTGGACAGTGTGATCTAGTTTCTTTGACAAGTGTTCAAAGGGGGTTGCAGTGGATTGCGGAGTGTCACTAAGCATCTGGGTGAGGACTCCTAGGGCAATGCCCTGCCTTTCGTGCTCATATCATTGAAAGGGCTTTAGTAGGTTTGGAAGCTCCAAGACCGGTGCAGAAGCCAGGTGAGCCTTCAGGGATGCAAAAGTCTGAGTGCACTCCTTCGTCCGCTCTAAAGGGTCACACCCTGGTTCCTTCAGAGCTCTATGCAGTGGTTTAGCAATGAGCCCAATGTTTGGAATCCAAATGCAGCACTAGCCTGCCATTCTCAGGAATCCTCTTAACTGTTTCCTGGTATTGGGAACGCTCATGTGGATTATGGTTTCTCTTCTGTTTCCAGTGAGACTCCTTTTGCTGGGTTCAAGCAGGAACCCAAGGAACCTAACTGCTTGTTGGCAAATGTGAGCCTTCTGTGCTGAAACTTTACAGCCACATGCCAGATGGTTCAAGGTAGCTATGGTGTTAGTTAAACATTGCTGGAATGATGTCCTAGTAATTAGGAGATCATCTACATATTGTAACAGAGTTCCTCCTTCTAGCTTTAGGTCCTTTAAGTTTTGACTCAGGATCTCCCCAAAAATTGTGGGGGGAGTTCTCAAACTCTGTGGTAAGACTGCCCAACCGTACTGAGTCTTGACCTGAGATTCCAGGTCCTGCCATTCAAAAGCAAACAATGGTTGAGAGTCCTGATCAACCAGAATGCAAAAGAAGGCATCTGTGAAGTCCAATACCAAGTACCAGAGGCTGTCCCCAGGTACACCATTCACCAAAGCGTGAGGGTTCAGAACAGTGGAGTGAATGTCCTGTACGAGGTCATTTATGGCCCTTAAATCTTGTACAAACCAATACTCATCCAAGCGAGCTTTCCTGATGGGCGATATGGGGGTATTGTATGGAGAGTGGCAAGGCTAAGTCCACACACCTGAAACTTCTGATTGGGTGTTTTCCTTTTAGGGCCTCCTTCCACAAGGGGTACTGTCTCTTTTGGGAGTCCTCACCTCTGACTCTAGGTCAACTTTAACAGAGAAGGCTCGCTTATCTCCTCCTGGCCTTCCTGCAGCCCACATAATGGGGTTTACCTGGTCCTCAACTTCTGGTCGAGGATGTGCTTCTTCCCACTCCCTGCATGATGTCATGAGGAACTGCCACGCATGCTCCGGAGGGACCTGCAGGTGAAGCTGCTGTTCCTCTGGAGCAAAGGCAATCTGGGCACGGCGTTTTGACAGCAAGTCCCTTCCCAGAACAGGTATTGGACACTCAGCGATACATGAGAAACGATGAGTTAAATGGGTATCCCCCCATGGCACATTCTAACAATTTCAAGACAAAAAAAAAAAATGGCTTTCGGGGCTTCCAGAAATTCTGGTTACCGTTATAGCCTGCTGTGAGGATTCAGCTAGAGGTCTGCTGACCACGGAATATGTCGCTCTAGTATCAATCAAAAAGTCCACAGTTTGTACTCCCCACCCTGTTAGTCTTACCCGGGGCTCCCTGGGGGTGACCTTAATAGGTCACAGTAATGAGAGAACCCCTGGGCACCATCAATCATCTTCAGAACGCCTTCCTCTTTTTAGCATTACTCTCGAGTTCTCAGGCTCTGGCCCCATCTTCCCTAGCTTGGGACACTTACTTCTCCGGCGCCCTTTGTCTTTGCAGTATGTGCATTGGTCAGCAGCAAACATTTTAGACGAGGGTCGGGCACCTCCTGCCCGCGATGGAATGGCCCTGAAGCTGGTTCCAAGAACATGGTGGCCGCTTGGGTCTTCTTCTGTTCTCTGTTATTATAAACTTTGAAGATAATGTCTATGAATTGGGAAGGATCCATGCCTATTCCTCCCTCTAAGTTCTGAAGGTTTTTTTTTTTTTTTCTGATGTCAGGTGCACTTGGGAGATAAAGGTCATATTCACCATTGCCACATGTTCAGGGGCTTGTGGATCCAAATCAGTACCTTTTCTATAGGCCTGGTAGATTCTTCAAGAAACTCAGCAGGGTCCTTTGTGGACTTTTGTTGCACTGCCTGCACCATATTCAGAGTCTTCTGCTTAGGGACGCCTGTCCTCATTCCCTCAAGGATGCACCTCGGATACTGCTCTAAGAAAGAAAGGCCATTCCCACTAGGGTCCCGGTGGGGCTCGGTTAAAGGAATTGCCTTAGTAGGGCCGGGAGCCCCATCTGAATTTTCCTGGTGCAGTCTCTGAGCCTCTTCATTTGCCTTATCCAACACCAGCCTCCGCTCATCCCCTGTAAACAAACTATTTAATAAGGCTTGTATGTTTGCCCAATTGGGATGATGGGTGGCAAAAACTGATGCAACCAAATCAGTCATTTTAGTAGGATCATCCCCATAAGAAGGGCTTGAGCTCTAACAGATCTGATGTAGAAAGTGCAGTATGTGCCCAGTAATAGCCGGCAGGCTGGCCCTCTGGCTCTACTCCCTCAGGAAGTCTCTGCCAAGGATATTGCCCTGCCCTGGTAAGGGCTTGTTCTTCATTGAATGTGGTTCCTGGAGGGTTCCAGACAGCGATGCCAGTTCAGGCTCACTTTCCCCAGTTCTCTCAGCTGAGTAAGGAGGAAGATCCTCCAGGGCTGGAAGGGCAATGGGAACCCTGACCATGCTCGCAGCATCCACGATTTCTAGATCTTCCTGGGCCCCCCTTCTGAGCTTCTGCTGTCTTTCTCGGGCAAATTCCCTTTTCCCTGGACCATTAACTTGTTACCTTTTAATTCTGCATCTTTATTATGTAAACTCATAAACGCTTCTATGGAAGGCATTTCATCCAACTTCCCTGACCTTTGACAAAACAACTCTAATTGCAGTCTAGTGTGGTAATTTCAAGACCCATTCAGCGACCAGCGCTCTCCTGAGTCCAGATTGTATGTAACCAAACAGTGTTACAGTAAAAAAAAAAAATCATTTTCTTTTTAGTCATCAGTTTATAAGTATAGGTCAACCAATTAGCCAAAACTTGCCCCCAAGGGCTGTTTTCCGGAATGGAGGATTTCCCCCCCATTCTACCAGAGAGAGCCCTGTAAACCAGATGGTACCTTAATTAAACCAGAAGACGTCTTTTTTACCAGACACAGCTCTGTAAATCAGAAGGCATCTTAAATTACTGACGACCTAAGTTGAGCCCAGGATTGTAACGGGAACCAGAAACTCAGAGGGGTTTCAATCAAATGTGAAAAGCGAGGGAAACTCAGAGGGGTTTCAGTCAAATGTGGAAAGCAAGGGAGGTGCCGAGGAGGAGAGTCCCCAAGTGAAATCACTTGGCAGCTGCTAGGGAGTCTCCAAATCCGTGTCCCAGGGGCCCCCAGTCCAGGCAGCAATCCGGACTCCCTGCCAATATGCAAACTTAATGTAGAGTCCCAAAATCCATCCCCGAGCAGAGTCGCCAGAATATGAAACAGGAAAAGCCAGTGTTGGTGCTGCCTGTCACCTACCAGATCCAGTAAGCAGAGACAGGCATTGAACTTTTGGAGATCTGAGAAGACAGCAGGTTTGTACCCTGACAGACCATCCTACACGTCCTTTCAAGCCAGCCTTTTTATAACAGAGAACTAAGTTTGGAATTTAGGGAAAATCAGATTTAAAAAAACAACAACGACTAAAGCATTCTTGCCCTGGGTGGACAGCTGTGCCCCAGGCGGTGGGGCAGTTGGTCAGCAGGCTGTCTCTTCCTGGAACAAAATGAATGGCTCAGATATCACGTAGATTGCTTATGGTTTCTTGTGGAGCACAAAGGTCAATCGCTATGGTCTCCTGGAGTCAGGGTGGGCCATGCCTTCAGTTCTGAAACAATAGCTTTTCACGTGCACTAAATACTAGACTTACTATTTCCTTAAACTAATATTTGCCCACTCTTGAGTTCCCCACCACTTTGAACTATTGCACCTTACTGCCTTTTACTGCTCCACCAGGTGCAGCTCAGGTGAGCAGCAGGTACCGGAAAAACTGTGGGAACCAGGGTCTCCGAAGTGGAGAGCTGAGCCGCGGTGAGCACTGGGCCCTGGTGATGGTTTGTGGAGGGTCGTGGCCTCCCACCCATTCCCCTCTGGGAGCCCTAGAGAGTTCCCCTGCGCTGCCCTCCTCCCGCCAGCAGGGGGCGCCCAGGAGACCGCGGGCGAGAGGCTTGGAGAGCAGAGGCCCCGCCGCTCTCTTCCGGAATCGGGACGAAGGCTGCCGCTTTTCCAGTTGTCCGCGGCAAGGCCCCGGGACATGCTACAGGCGGAATCCGGAACCCGGAGCCTCGGAGAGGAGACCCCACCACTGCACCGCCTTCCCGGCCCAATCCTGCCCGGAAGCGCTGGTGCTGAGGGGGCGGGGCCAAGAAGCGCTTCCGGGGGCGGGGGGCGCGGGCTGGGGCGGCTGTCGGAGCGGCGGGGACGGGCCTGGCGCCGGCGGCGGCGGAGGGAGCGCCGCGGGCGGGCGATGTGAGCGCGGCGCTCTCGGCAGGTGAGGCGCACCGGCAGGAAACAGCGGGCAGCGGGCGAGGCTGGGGTATAGCTGGAGGGCGAGGAACAGTCCCCTGCCGCTGTCCGGCTCCCTGTGGGCGCGGCGAGGCGGGAGCGTTTGCGCCCGGTCAGTCCGGCCGGCCGGCGGGTGGGCGGGCGGCGCGGCTGGGGCAGAGGCCGGGCGGGGTTGGGAGGCCCGGGGCACCTGCTTGGGCCGGCGTGCGCCCGTGAGGAGCCTACAGTGCGCGGCCGGGAGTCCGGGCGCCACTGGCGGGCCAGAGGGTCGTGCTCGGCTAGCTCCCCGGGCTCTCCAGCCGCCACCGCCCTGGGCGTCTGGGGATCCCCTGCTTCCGGGCCCTTCGCCCTCGGGCGCGCTACCCCTTTGTACGAGGAGGCCGGATTAAGGAAACCCCTGAATAACCGGGCCGGGCGGCGGTTCGTTCTGCTGGTGGCTGCAACGGAGTCCCTGCCCTACTCCACCGCCTTTCTCCAGGTAAACAGGAGGCGGCGCGTCGTGCTTGGCCCTAGACGTCTTCATGGTCACTCTCGCCCTCAGACGGTCCTGCCATTAGAGGGCTGGGCTGGAGCTGGACTCGAGGTGTAAAGCGTTCTTCTGTGCTCGGTGGCTGTGCTTTAGGGCGGCAATAGTCTAGGAGTCTCAGTCTTGAGGCTTTCAGCAAGCCTCTTCCAGGTTGAGCCTCAGTTTCCCCATCTGGTAAATGAGGGTTTTAGATTAGCTCTCTGAAGACCTTTCCAACTCTGTTAATTCTGTATATGTCTGAAGTTGGAAGGGCTGTTCCAGGTTCAAGATAATTGGGCATTTTCAGTGAAGACTTTTTGCAAATAGGGACTTTTTGGCAACTTCATACACTAGGTTTCAGACAGACTTTAAAATGATTCTAAGAAGCGTTTCTAAACCTTACCTCAATCATAATTAATCCCTTGCTTTTGTTCTTAGTAGTAGTCAATCACATCTCTCTGAGTTTTTGCATGCAAAAAAAAATTTGGTTGTTTATATTTGCCCATTTTCTCTTTGTTCCCTAGTCCAGGCTCTTTGCTTCACATCTGGATTATTGCAACAACTTCTTAGCTGGTCTCTGACTTTAGAAGCCCCCCCACCCCCTCCTTTCTTTATGCTAATGCCAAACTTAATATAGGAAGTCAAGAAAAGAGTTGAGTGCTTGCCTGCTTATTAAATGTCAAGATGCTGTTCTGTGTGGTGGGGGAAAGTAATAGAAGACACAGCCTGTGAGCAGCTTTACACTGGGTGCTGAGACTTTACCTGTAAAAAGGTAATTCACTGGGCAAGGCCGTGTACTGTAGAATTAAGGGGAAGGAGAGATGGAGGTCATTACAGGCCAAGTAGTCAGGGAAGGCTTAAAGAGGGAGTGCTTTTTGATCTGGCTGTTAAAGGGTGAGTAGGATTCGGATAGGAAAATGGGAATCCAGTGATCTTATGGAGTTCGTGAATAGACCAGCCTCCTTGTAAAGAAGGGTTCATATACGAAAGGAACAGAAGGAAGGATTGCTTGGGCTAGTTCCTGAAAGAACTTGAACACTAGGCCAAGGATGAAACTATCCTAAAGGCAGCTGTGCGGGCAGCAAACTAGAGGTGGTTCCTGATAATAGGTAGGAGAGGGAGGGGGAGAGCTCAGGGGCCAGGTGATCAGCCCAGAGGCCGTGGCATTTATACTGCCCTTCAAGGCTGAGTAGTGGCCCCTTGCCTGCCACATCGTGTCCAGTCATTGCCCACCCTGTCTTTCCAAGGCTTTCCTTTGGGGGACCCTCCTCACTAGCCTGAACCTTATTCCCTGCTTCTCCCTCCAGGAGCCTGTTCCCTTTGGGAGTGAGTTTATGACTGTCTCTAGGGCAGCAATTTTCGCAAGAGGCGCCCTAGGGCATCACAGCAATGCTTAAAACGTGCAGTACCTGACCATTTAGTCAGGGGCAGTGACCTCTTTTTTCAGACTGCCAGATAAAAAAATGACAACCGCCGACACAACAATAGCCATAGGGCGTGAATGAATCAGAATTTGTCACATTGGCAAAAAATGTGTTTTGGGGTGTGCTGCAGAATTTTGGTGATTAGTTTATGGGTGCCATGAGACATAAAAGGTTGAGAATCACTGCTCGAGGGCTTGGCTCCTGTCCTTTCCCCTTCTGAAGTGCTGGCCTCCTTTCCTTCTCCTCTGTGTAAATTCTCCATTTCACTTCCTTCAGGCCCCTGCTGAAGATATACTTCCTCCGGAGGGTGTTCCCCGACTGCCCTACCCCCATGCCTTTGTGGCACTCAGAATCTAAAGCACAGGATTCAGCACTTGTTCCTTGCTTATTAAACTTGTTCTTTTCCTGAGTGGGCTGGGAGTTTTTTGAGGGCCCTGGGTCCTAATGCACCTCCCTGTGCCCTTATAGTATCTCATACTATAATTGGACTTTTCTGATAGGCACTAAAATAGTTCTTGATTTTTGCCGATAAACTTTTTTAAAAAAGATTGCCCCCTCCTGTTTTTAAAGGACATCCTGTTACCAGCGCTTTTCTGTCATGTGTCACTTATCTCTAATGCTGCCATTCAAGGTGGATGTTTTCAATTTTCATTCTTAGGGCGTTGATAGCATAAAACAAAAGTTTTGAAACATTCAAATGTTTATTCTTAATTGTGGGAAAAGATAAAAACATGTGCTGCTTTGTCTGGAGGCTCTGGGGAAAGAAAGATCGCCAGCTTTCGTCACAGCTTTGGAGTCAGGCCTGGGTTTGAGCCCCAGCGAAGTTACTAACCTGCTCTGTGAACTTGGGCAATTTATGTATGTAATGTCTCTGACCCTCTGTTTTCTCATCTGTGGTGTGGGGATAAAATCCACTTCATGGGGTTATTGTGAGCTTGAAAAATGAAAAGTGACCCACTCTGGGGGCAGTGTCAGGTGGGGAGTTTGACTGGGGCGGCGCACCTGTCAAAACAGCATCGCAGGTGTGGCAGGTGTGCCGAGGCGAGCGCGGAGGACAGAGACCTCCTGTGGAGCAGCAGGGCAGAAGCTCATTCGGTCTGGATTTCCAGCGCTTAGTAACTGCTTAGAACATTTTCAATTACTGTCATTAATATTAGGTGTAAATGTATCAGGGTGGGGAAATACTAGGGCACTGAGCCTCAGTGTGTCTGCCGAGCTGCGGGTTTCTGTGTGTCCCCAGATCCTGTTTCTACCTTCAGCTTAACCACTCGTTAAAAATGTCGGTCATGAGCCTAGAATGCCATCATTATGTCTTATTCCTTTGAATTTTCATGTTACTTTTGTGTAAATTCTGCTTAATGTTTTTCAGACTTGTGCTCATGTTTTATAACTGACAAAAGTGTTGAATGTAGTTTAGCAAAGGTCATTAACTTGATGCAGTTTAATTTCTAATGGTTATTTTTCTGGTTGGTATTGATGGCGTGGAAAACCTCATAGAAGAATAATTCAAGGTGAACTTTTCTAATCCTTTTGTTCTAAGAGGAAGGACTTTAAGTGTTTCCCAGGTCCAGGGCCCAATGTGACGGCAGCAGCAAGCAGATACAGGGTGCTGCTCCTTGCCATTTTTGAGTTCTTTGCCTTAAGAAAGCTTATTTATTCTTTTCCTTAAAACAGATCTTTCTAATTCATGATTGGAATTTGAAACATCTATTTGCCCACTTCATAGAATAGACAGAAGTAAAAAGAGTGGATATTATGCAGATAAATGGATACACACTACTCCAGGTACAGCCAGTTGCACCCCCTTCATTATCACTGTGTTGGTGCATTGACACACCCTTAAGTAAAAACTCTCTTTCCACTCAAAGTTGATCAGTGTAAGTCCAGCCCCAATAAAAACCCTGCATCTCACCATTGTGCCTGAATTAAAATCTCATTCTTACAGGATTTAAGAATTCTGGCTCTGGAGATAGACAAATCCAGGCTCAAATCCGGACTCAGCCGGTCTCAGTGACTTTGGGAAAGACCCTCAGTCTGAGTCCATACCCTCGTCTGTGGGACAGGGATGGGTGCAGCCCCTCTCTCAGTGTCGTCCTGAAGATCTGGTGAGCAGGTGAAGAGCTTGCTTAGCATGCAGTGCGCAGTAAGGAGCTCAATAACGGTTTTTTTAACATTGCCAGAAAGGTTCAAGAGGCCATTTCTGCCCTGCTAGGAGAGCTCAGAAGAGGCTTCTGATGTTCTGCATTGACTGAAAGACAAATCTCTGTGAAACCAAACTGCACTCTCAGAATTAGTGCATCTGAGCAGCCCTGTAGAATGTTAACGCCTTGGTTGGAAATCTAACAGTTTGGATAAAAATGTTCTTTCAGGCTCCTATGAATTAATGCAGTAAGAACTCTAGACTTGTTTCCTTTTAAATTAGAATGAGCGCTTCATGAATATCCATTGCAGAATGCCATTTTATTTATTTTTTTCTTGCCTGGGGTTTCAGCAGCTCTGGTGTGATTTGGTTGCCGCTTTCTAAAGGATTAGGCTGTAATTCATGACAGCTCAATTTTAGTTTGGATCTAGACCCAGGCAGAAACACCTAGAAAAGTTATTTTTATGTAGTTATTACTGCTGCCCCCGTGCCTGTTGTCCCTCGTGCTTCCATCTGTGGTCTTTTTAACGGCTCTCTGAATGAGGACGAAGATAGGGATATTCACGTCTCCCGTGCCTGACAGGGAAAAAGCCTCGTTCGAGTTGTGTCTTTAGTGTCAGCAAGTGACTGAAGCCAGCAGGTACACGTCTGGGATTGGGATCACGAGCATCTTGATTGAGAATAACAGGTACCTCCGGGTGCCTTAAACAACTTTAAATTTGCAGCCTTGCCTTCCTTTCTTGGAAGTGTCGCCAGGTGTTTCTCAAGGCAGCAGAGCGCATTACGGGGCTGATAAGCTAAAGGGGAAGGAGCTGACCTGCTAGATTTTGCCTGCTGGCAGAGACGGCCCTGCACCTCTTTCGTCTTCAGCGGGGAAAGTTGAAAGCTGAGGGTGCAGCTGTGGGGGCAGCCGTGGA